TCCAGTCCAAAGTACTTAGAACAATAGTCAATGCCCCATATTATGTCACAAATAAGACCCTACACCATGACCTTAACATCCCATTTGTCCTCGACATCATCCCATCCAGATTCTCAAACTTTCACCAGAACCTTATCCATCATCCAAATCCTCTAGCTCAATCCCTATCCAGCTCCCACCATCCCTACAATCCCCCTCGAAGGTTAAAACGGCAGTGGCCGCGAGATCTATTGTAATATGCTTCTGGAGTCCTGGCAATGGCCAGCTTCTCCACTCAAGTCCTGAGCATCTGTGGCTCTAGTGCCCTCCTTCAGCCTCCACTGGCTTTTAATACTAGTGATGCGGCTGGAAAAGTGGCACTGGGATCTCTGGAGTCCTGCTTTGCTTTCCACATGTGGGGAGAGAAGCCTGGCTCGGAGATTCCTGGGCGAATGTATATATTGTATATAGGTATGAATGTGTTTAGAAGTTGTTATTTTATTTTGTTTGTTTATTTATTTTTTTTTTTTAATTTTATTTATTAATTTATTTTTTTTTCCTATTGATTTACTTTTTTTTATAAGTATTATTTATTTACTTCTTATATTTATAGTTACTTCTGTATTACTTGTATATACTGTATGAATGAGAACTTCTAGCCTTAATACTTATAGCCCTCCAACAGTGGCTGATTGTATTATTATTCAATAAATAAAAAAAAAAAAAAAAAAAATATTTCCTCATGATATTAATATCGGCAATATTATCTATTATTCAAGATATCTATCAAGCAATATATCTATTATTTATTTAGTAAATAAAGCTATACAATACATTTTTATTTTTACAACTTATTACATATATAAATTGGTTTTACTGGTAAGCATTTAAAAATATTAAGAACGGGTTTTCTTATTTAAATGGATTTAGTCTACATTAATTCAGAAGGCAAGCGTTATTACAAAACATTCAGTTTTTCTGATATCTAGTTTAAATTAAAAAGTTTGACAGGGTTAAGCCGTTTTAATGCCTTTTCTGTGGAGCAAAAGCTTAATTTTTCGGGAAAAAAGTATCAGTTGCGCTTTTTCGCGTTAAAAATCCCTACTCATTCTTTGAAACCAACTTTATCATGAGTTCACTGTGCTATTTTTTGGATCACGAAAAGTGGGTCAAATTTACTATATTTTACTATTTAGGTATACTACTTACTATTGTATTATTATTATTTAAGTAGTATTACTTTGGTTACTATCTTGGTTCTATGGTGAGATCGATTAAACCAGTCGATTCTACGCCACAAAATACGTTGAAAATTACACATCACATATCCTTAGTCAACTGATTTTAGAATTAACTGACCAATTTATGTGTATTTTACTTACGTACTACTTTATGTGAATTGAACGTAAAAATCGATAAAGATGTCATAGAATATCGATTTTAGAGTTCTCAGTCGATCGATCCTACTCCTAGTCTCACTAAGCTGTGAACTATTATTTTTTTAACACATAGATTATAGGTACAAAATAGTGATTGGTCTGATCGTAATACATTCTAATATTTAAAAAAAAAATAATACATTATAAAAATTAAAATTCTTCGTCATTATAAAATTAAAAACTATGGAATGAATTAATACATATTAAATACTCGTTTTTAATTTTTATTTTAGTATTAATATTCTTAAAACTATGAACTGTGTTTTAAACAGTTTTTTTCTTATAATAACGGGAACAAATAAAATGCTAGTAATTTTTTTTCCGCAATCATCGAGATTTTTTTAGGTCTTCTCTCTTTATGAAAGTCATTCTGTGAGTGAGTCTCTATTATCGTAACAATTAATTGTAAACTCAAATTCCAATCAATCGACTTTTTTTTACGAAAAAAGATTCTGTAAGAAATTTTATTCAATCTATCATTAAAACGATACACAAACCGTTTTTTAGTTGATTGCACAACATAAATTATTTATGGTTGCAAATATGTCGAAAATTAACTAAGTAATAATTATTTATAATTTCCTCTTTTAATAAACATGATTTAAGAAACTATTTTCCATTTTCATCTATTCTACTATGATGGGCATAACTTATATTCTGGAAACAGTTAACTAATACGTACATTTATTACAACTTTTATAGCCTGATTGTAAACAAACAAGCTATAAACATTGCGGTTCACTGTAAAAAGATATATATGATCATACTTCGGACCGAAATACCTCAATCTATTCAATCAAGAAAATTGTACATTTAGAAATGGCCTTTTAAGGTCGAATTGGTCCCGTCGTTTAAGGCAAAAATTTTCTCTGAAGCCAAATCCAAGCTTTCCAAAAATGATAATTTACAGAAGTTCTTCAAATGTATCTAGATCATAAAAATACCTAATTCATTTTAGAGGTCGATGGAGCTTTTTTTGATAGATCAGACACTTTTTTTAATTATTTTCTTAACAACGCAATATATTAAACTGGTTAATGATGCTTTGTATTCTCCCACATATGGTGTGTCTTTATTGGCAAAATTTCAAATTGATATAGTTGAAAACAAAGTCACAAAAAAAAAAAAAAAACCTTATGCTTGCATCTTCGATAAGCTCCAATAGATCATGTTTGGACTTCTTGGTAAAGGCCTAAACATATCTTTTCGGAATAATTAAAGAAAGAGAATATTCTTCAACTTTTGAGGGACCGGAAACCGCTAAAAGTAAAACTAAATTCTTAAAACTAAATTTCACTTCTGGGTATTTTTAACGCCGTTGCCCCAGTGTGCCTCGTGGTCTTGTCATATGCATCTTCTTCGCTGTTGATATTCTTACCACTCTTCATACTTACCTTCTTTTTTTTAATCAATACCCCTACCTCGCCATTTATAGCATATTACTTGTATATCAATAAAGAGCTAGGAGAATGTCCTGTATGTTATATTGTCTTTTCTTATCCAATATTTGTTTTTTTTTTTTATTCGTGGCAAGAAGAACCTTGATCATAAAGGCCTGTTCCGTGCTAAATATACGTCATTATCCATTATACAATCAAAATTAGTTAGTTTCTTCATATATTAATAAATTATCTTACTGTTCTACTGAAAAATTCTGTGTATATATATATATATATATATATATATATATATATATATATATATATATATATATATATATATATATATCAGTCTGGCCTGAGACGCCCTGGTGTGTACATCGGTGTAATTTGTTCATATAATAGACTCTGTTTACTTTAATTTAATTTTCAGTTCAGTTAAGTTCAGTTTTTTTTCTTCTCTTTTTTAAAAAAAACACTATTATTAATCACGCTATTAAGTGTCGGATCTTCACAATAATCGGAGTAAAGAAAGCGCAGCGAGATTGATAGAGTTCTGGGAGCAACGAGCTGGCAGGCGTCTACTAATCCTAACAGCATTAGACCAGCATTAGACGTTGTTTACTACCGTCAACAGTCTTGGTATCTATTTATATTTTAATTGCTAAGTAATTCTCATTAATAAATTTAAAAAATGGTGCAGTGTAATATTTGCAACAACTCTATCGCACGCGAAGATAAGAATAATATACACTGCGTTAAGTGTAAAATAATTTTTCATGGTAGGTGCGTCAACCTTACTGATAAAGACACCGAAGCATTAAAAATAATTAAAAAAACATGGGTTTGCTCTAACTGCGAACAGGTGAAAAAACAAAATACCGAGCCGTCCCCCTCAGAAATACTTGCGGCAGTAAATCGTTTAGACGCTACCGTGAACGAAGATATAAAAAACATGAAAACAGCACTAAATAAATACGGAGAGCTCAGTTTTGAACTAAACGAAAGACTGACGAAGATTGAAAAACATCTGGAAGGTCAAGCTAAAAAGTTTGAGGAGATACTATTAGAAAACAAAGCACTCAAATCCCGAGTGGGCGAATTAGAGGTTCGCTTGAATAAAGCAGAGCAAGGACTATTGAGTAGATCACTGGAGATCCGCGGTATACCGGAGCGACCGGGCGAAACGTCTGCTGCTTTGGTGACCAGTATAGGAGCAAGCTTGGGGATCAGGCTTAGTGTGGAGGACCTGGACAACGTACATCGCCGCAGAAGCCGAAAAGATGACTCGCGACCACCCCCTGTTATCGCACGTTTTGTCAGGCAATCAATTAGAGATGATTTAATTACGAAAAGGAAAGTGAAGAGGGATTTCTCCACGCGGGATATCGGTTGGCAGGAAAATGACTGCCACCGAATTTATCTGGGTGAAGAGATGACTCGCACAAACAGACACCTCTATTGGCTAGCCCGGCAGAAGAGAGCGGCGGGAAAAATCAAATATACGTGGTTTGCTTCCGGAAAGGTGCGGTGTCGAAAAGAGGACGGACATAGAGTCATCCTGATAGAACAGGCCTCGGATCTAGATGTATTTGACTGACTACCTAGAAGCCGTCAACCCCTTAGCCTCATTAAAATAGTCTTACTTCTTCTCTTAGTGCTATCTCTACACCGTCACTCATCAATCTATTTATTTTCAAGTACATTCTCTTTATTTATTTTTAATGTTAATATTACTTTTTCTTCACTTAGTTTTATGTACGATAATCGCTTTTCTGTACTTTTTACTCGTTTTGTCTTCTCGCTACCAAACACTGACTGTTTCTCTCCAAATCCACTGTATGTCTAGTTCCCTAATCACATGTCAAGTTAACTCTCAATCACTTTCTGCCCATTATGACGAATTCCTGCAATACTTTACCCAAAACTTTTATCATATCATAGCAATATCCGAAACCTGGTTCAAACCTTATATTCCATCATCTTCAGTCTCTTTGCCTAATTACATCCTGCTCCGTCATGACCGGGTAAACCGGACTGGCGGTGGAGTAGCTATGTTTGTCCACAATAGCCTAAAGACCCGAATCCTCGATTGCTCCCCATCTTCCGATCATCCTCATGTATATATATATATATATATATATATATATATATATATATATATATATATATATTATATATATATATATATATATATATATATGTACATACATATGTTTACTTTTTTTTTCTTATGAATTCAGTTTAATTATCTATGAAATTATTTTTTTTAACTCGCACACACGTTATGTTTTTTACAGTCGGAAAGAAATCGCTATGAATTCTTGTACTTCTACAATGTTAAGGTTTTATTTTATCCTCTGAAAAATTCAGGTAAAGCACGGACAGGAAAGAATATTGGAGGTTCTGATGTCTCCGGTGACGGGGTATCAGTAGGTTTTGGAATAGCAGTTGGTTGTGGGCCGGCAATAATAGGTTTTGATCCAGCTCCTGGTATATGCGATCCTTCTGCATGGAAACCAGTCTCGTCCGCGTACCAGTTGACGGTGATGACCTGGCCATCAGGACCTGTGTAAGAGTAGCTTCCTCGGGCAGTCTGAGCTTCTCCTTCCGTCCCGGCGTTCTTCAGGAAACCTTCTTCTTCAACGGAGATCCCGTTGCTTGTTTCATAACTAGCGAAATGAAAAAAAAATGTATTTATATACTTGTATAAATAAGATACATACACGTTTTGATAGAAATCTTTCAATTGAACCATAAATCATAACCTTAAAAAACTCGATGAAATATATTTTTACAAAAAAAAAATATTAAAACGGTATTTATGTAGTTTTAGGAATATTTTTCTCAATAGTTTAATTTTTTCGTCGTTTTAACATGACTAAAATGAGCGTCTTTATTTTATCAGCCGATCTATAAATAGTCCTTAAACTCGAAAAAAATTTCTCCAGAACGCAGATTTATTTGGAAGGTAGATTTTGATTAATTAAATTTTGAATGAACGATTAGGAATAGCATTAAATGTACATGGTATACGCATAATTCATACACGTAATGACAAACTGAATAACATCCAAAATTCGTATAAATGTAAAAGTGATCAATCATTTAAAATAATACAGTATACTAATGATCTTTCTAAAAAACAACTGTTATCTTAATATGACCTTAACATGATAAAAAGTTCGTTCCAGCATTTTATTCAAGTAATACTTAAGGTAAATTGTATTTTCTATAATTTTCTTGATTGATTGACGTTTATGAAAATGGCTCCGTTTTCATGAGTGCTAATATAAAAGTTTCCTCAATAACCTATGAATCTAATAAATTATTTTTTTTTTCAAATTGGATTTAGGTGCTTTATTTCCAACTTTAGTGCTGTAACTATGAAATTAAAGAAATCAAATCATCCTAATTTTATCAAAACTTTATAAAAGATTTCTATTCTCATTGTAATTATTTTTTTCATTATTCGACTAAATAAATTGTTACACTAAATAAATTGTTACACTTGTAGACTAAATTTTGTTGGTTACAAGAATTTTAATGTTATTAAAATATCCAAGCTGATGATATGGTTAGATTTTTTAGATTGAACAAAGAAAATGTTTAGTAATTGGAAATCCACGTTTTCTTAATGAAATGAACCCGAAATTAAGTACCTTTCATGAAAAAAAAAATATCGAACACTGATTGAAGGTTAACTGTAACAGAAAACTGCAATTATGTTTTTAAATATTACCTTCATTATAAAATCGTTACACTACAGGCCGAATGTGCCTTGATGTACGGAGGCAGGTGTTCTATTTTAGGAAACACCTAACATGAGAAGATATTGTGACTAATAAATAAAAAGTGAAGGTATTTTTTAAGACCTATTTTTCGTGAAGCACGGGAGCAAAAATTTTTATATTTTTTTCGATACTTCCTTATAAATAAATAGTTGAGGAATTTCAATATTCGCAAATATTTCGTCACATAAAATAGGATATATTAGTGATACATAGTTTTTACCTGTACTTGTAAGAACCATCTTGATTATTTTCACTCTTGGAAGATATGATGACACCGTTGTTTGGAGGCTGCTGACACTGGATAAGAGCAATTTCCAATATTAAAAGAAACCAAAGCTGTAAAAAAAAAAAAAAAAAAAAAAATCTGAAATAAAATATCTTTTAAATGTTAGATATTGTTCCAATCAATTGGTAAACTAATATAAAATGTAAATATATATTGTATTGTAATTAAATATGAATGTTTTATATTTTATCTCGAGTTTGATTTCTTTTGATTTTGTCATTGTTAATATGATATGAATGTGTCACTCATAGCTCTAATACTTAATGTTCTTAAGTATGACAAAATGTATTATTTCTTAATAAGAAAAAAAGAAATATATATAAAGGTACTGATTATACAAACACATTTACTAATCAAAGGATATAGAATAATATGAGATAATTAAAATAAAATAATTAAATAGAAATTAAAATGAAAATTAAAGTAATAATATGCATTTGTATTTTTAAAAAATAATGAAATTAGTCACTATTATTACGTTATACAGTTAACAAATATATTAAAACTGTTCCATATCCATTATAAAGAATCTTAAATAATATCTAATAAACAAACAAATGTCTCAATACTTCAAATAGAATATTTAATAGCTGAAGATATAGTTGTCTGTGGCATGGATGTACGCAAGGGAAGACAGAATAGGGGGAGGGGGGAGCTCGTTGTCCCACCCTAAATAATTTGAAATAAAATAAAATCCAACATAATCCAACACAAAACATAATCCAAAAAGTTTGATGAAAATTCAAGAAAATTAATTCTAAAAAATTGTTTTTCTATGTATATGTATATTGTATTCCATATAAAATAAAAAATCTGGTGCACGCAACACACAACTTTCACCTACCGATCTACTTTTAATAGAAATTATTTTCTGGCAATGCTGGGCTATTATAAAATTTTAAACGGAGCTAAAGCTTAAAGCTTCCAGATAACATGTTATTAAGACCATTATAATTACAAAATGTCTATTTAATATATCGACAACAGGCAATAAAAATCTATTCACTCTATCTGCTTTTATAAATCACACAACCTTCTTTGCTTTTATAAACCACAGAATGACTAACTCCAATTTCAACATTTGAGTGATGTCATTTTAGTGATATTTTTAGTTGAAAAGGTTATCTATGTAGACAATTTGATTCCAGAGGTGGTGATTGCAGTGTTGAAATATAGAACAGAGTATAAAAGTATAAATTTAGGTACTACTTTCTTATGAAAGATGTTCTTAGGAAAGACACTTTATTAAATATCTGTAGAAAAAAGGTTTTATTAGTCTCAACAATTAAAAAAATATATTTTAAATGTATCCAAATTTTCACTTCTTCGGGGAAAAAAACTAGAGACCATATCTTTCTTCCTAATTGTCCGATTTTAACGATTTTTTTTGTTACAATATCGACAAAAAAGCGTATACTTTTTGAGTTATTCGGAATCTAATTTTAACATCATTCGTAATTTTTTTCCCGCTTCTTTTCTTTGAAGTATGTTATATAGATAAATTTAAAGACTTTAGCGAGAAAATGACTTTAGCGAAGTTTCATTGAAATTGGTACATTCGTTTAGGCGCTACAGTCTGTAGGAACGCAGGTTTTTCTGCATTTTTATTGTTTTTCTCCTTTATTAACTTAACAAATTCTTTCAAAAGTTATATTTAGCATTTTTTTGTAACTCTGAATAATGCGAAATAGTTAACTTTTTAAAATATACCATATTAAAGGTATTTTAGAGGAAGACATATATGAACATTGGTCATTTAAGCCCTGTAAAGTGACATCAACGGGGATAAGATCTAAATGATATTAAAGGTCACTTAATCATACAATGGTACACCGAGTTTGATCAAAATCGTTAGAGTCGTTTTTGAGAAAATTGTAAAAATGTGTTTCAGCGTTCATATAAAGTGGCACTTCCGGTTAGCCGATTTTAACGAAAAAGTTGCTGTCACATCCGGCCCATATACAAACCTTAAATACTTAATATCAGTTTCGTACTACTTTTTGTTTATGAGCTAGACTGTTAACACACACACACACACACACACACACACACACACACACACAGACCATTTTGCGACACTTGGTTACTTGAACTCAGAGGACCTCAAAACATGTATTTCCGTTGAAAACTGAGATTCGAAAATTTTCACAATTGCAATAATTACCCTTACTATATATTACATATATACGTAAGTGAAAGTAAAAATATGCATATATTGTAATAATAACATTCTATCCTAGAAAAAAAAATCCGTTTTGCCCCCTCTTCCTCTAATATGAATGCTGCGCACGCCCTTTGTCAATGTATAATATAGTTGGGAAGTTCATAACATAAAATGTGCCCTAATTTATATACAATCAGTCGCCACATTTTTTAATTTTTGCGGAAATTGCTGTTTCTAGGCCGAAAAGTAATTTCACGTTTTTAGCAAAACCTGATAGTGTTATAGTCCTACTAATACAGCAAATTTCATACCGTCCTAAATATTTGAAGTAGATACGATAGTCACTGTCATGGCCACTCCTATCATTAACTGCAATCGTGAAAACGGTTTAAGAGAAATTTTATGATATTTATTTAACCAATAATTAGAGACTCTTTCTCCTTTCTTTGTTTCTTTCTTTTTTATATGCCTTTAATATGAATTTAGTTCCAAGGACCATTTTCTTATTATGTACTTATTAATAAACCTTTCTTACGAGTATTAACCTTTCTGCTTAAATGTAATCAGAAAATACCAAATAAGTTTAGAATTAACATTATTTGAAAAAAGTGAAAAATTAAGAAAAACTCTTTTACTGAAACTTACAATTGTCATTTTCTCAGCTAGCTGGCCCAAAGCTCGTTACAAAACTACAATATCTCAGGTAATCACTTAGCAACTATATAAGTACTTGCCCCTCCACTATCTCCCACCTCTTCCGAAAATTCATGACCAATGGCATTATTAATGTACCAAAAATGTTACTATATTCTATATTTATGTTCTGTATATTTTCAATGTTGTGTTTCTATAAAATATATGTGTCTACATTATACAACCACTAAAACTTTATTTTTTATTATACTTTTCTGGAGAGTGTAAGTTCTCTAAGGTTTGTATGAGGTTTGGAAGGTGATCACAATATTTGACAGTGAAAACATTATTCTATTTTTCAAAGAATTCTCTGGAACCATAAACTAAAATTTTAAAGTTATACATGTGTCCATGTATCATCACGCACTGATCAATATGTTTCGTGTTTATGTCGAGATTTTTAATGCTTATAAAATGTTTATACAAGTCAGTATTATGTACAATTTATAAACTAGTTTTTAATGAAATTAATAACCGAAGTCATCAATCAAGCAGTGTATCACTACCCAACATGTTTTATAAAATATTAGGTGATTGCTTGGTAATGCTTATGATAGGTTGCCATCGGATTTTATTTTCAGTGACATCCCGTTTTCGAACCATTATGAAATCGTTTAAATGAAAAGTATGTGGGCACAATTAATGGCTCCTTTAAAAATGAATTTACACGAATGAAAACCAGTGTAGGTACTTACTTAAATTGTATATAAATATAATAAGGTATACATATGTTGTAAAAAAAAATAATAATGAAAAAAATATATACATCTACTTTTATTATTATCTGTTTCTATATTATTTATTCCTCCGCTGGTTTAAAATACCAGTGAAGTGGCTGAGGGAGAAGCGTAGGGATCTCCTAGGCCTCCCTTTTCCCTCCACATGTGGAGGGGACAGGATTGGTTCGGAGATCACCTGGCAAATTGTAAATAATGTATGTTTTATATAAGGTGTTTGTTTTACTTTTATTTCTATTTTTATTTACTTATGTGTATATATATTTTTTTTTTCTTTACTCTTTTGTTCTTTCTTCTTATTCTTTTGTTATTACTTTATTTATTTATATTTTTGTATATACGGTATGAATGCAATCGCTGAACTCTATTATAAGTGTCCTTAACTGTGACAAATTGTAATATTTCTGAATAAAGTGTTTTTAATAATAAATAATATTATTTATTGTAAATATAGTGTGAATGTACTGTCTGAACACTATTATAAATGTCTTTAATTGTGATAGATTGTAATATTTCTGAATAAATAAAAAAAAACTGGTAATAATGAAAATGTAGTTAGCTTTTTTAAGTTTTTTTAGAAGTAAAATATTCGAAAAATGGGAAATGTGTTAATTGAAATATGGAATGGAGTCGGTTCCGCTGCTGTTAAAATTTTGATCATATTTAGTAAGATCAAAAATATTCAGAAAATTTGTAAGAGGACTTGAGAGCAGTGCTCAGCAAATACGAAAGAACTGAATGTCTGGATAGTGAAAAAGACAGAGTAGGCAGTCAAGAATGTAGAATGAAAGTATATATATAGTAGTAGAATAAATATATATATATATATATATATATATATATATATATATATATATATATATATATATATATATACAACTTTTCTTTAATCGAACTTTGAGTATTAAATTTAAACATAATTATTTAATTGGGAATAAGGTTACTTATTAATTATTCAATAAACTACTAAATTTTCATTCCTTCTGAGATTATTCGACTTTTTGATCCCGTTTTTTTTTTCTTTTTATAATTTAACAATGGTATCTTCTTTAAAGTTTTAAAATATACCTTCGATACCTTATGCCAGAGACACACCGGCAGTCTCAGGACCGCCCACCAGCATATATATTAAGCTGCTATTAAAAGTAGATAATACATGTTGCCCTTAAATGTAGCAGATTTTAATATTACATAAAAATTCTAGTATTTATTTTTTAAAAAAACAAAGGGTTGTCAAAAATTCTGATTGTGAATTTCTCAAAAGCCATTGTTTTTAATTTGTTAGTAAAACCGGACCGAACCGCATTTGGTCATAGCATTTTTTGGTTATCTATACCTTCTTATAATTTAACGTTGGTTTAATGATTTTTTTTCTTTCTTTTCTAACAAATTTTATTGGAATCATAATTCATTGTTTATAACTATAATTTAGTATGTATTATAACTTTTTATAATT